GTTTCTCTTCCCCTCAAAGCTGCTCATGGTACTGCTCAGGGCATTCAGGTACAGCTGGGCTGGGCTGGGGGTTTGGGGTGGTTTTTTGGACTTTGGGAATGTCTCCAAGAAGATGCAGCAGTTACAGATGTGTCATTTTAGAGAATCATGCCCCCAGTCTCCAGCCACATGGATTTAGTGTAAGGCTGAATATGTCCTGGTGGTGTTGCATGGCCAGGTGTTCATTTTCAGCATCCTTTATAATAAAAATGGAATATCTAATCCTCTAACATGAGATCCAGGAAACCCAGGGAGGTGGCAAAAGCTCCACCTCAACAAGAAAAGGTTTGGACTCCCTGTTATTTGAACCAAATTCAATTTGATTCTGTGTGTATTGGTAAGAAGAGAAACATCAGCAACTTTGATGTAATCTCAGCTGCATTTTCTTTTATGTTCTTGATGCCAAAGTGGTAAAAGAAGAAGCTTTTGTAAAAGTGTGACAAAACCCCAAGACATGTTTTATAACACTTTAACTAAAAAGGATTGCACTATTCAAATGCATAAAAGTAAACTAAATGAGGAATGAAATATCTCTGCTGTCAGAATACCACCACTCAGCATTGAAACTGTTTCAAACCCTGGCTTTAAAATAAATCTAAAGTGATTTCACTGAGGTTTTTCTATGTGTTTATTAAAGGAAGCAGGATTTTTCTGAAAAACCCCTCAAACTTAGGGAAAACAAACATTTCTATATCATTTCATAACATTTTTGGTGATATTTTTTAGCATCCTTAAATATATAAAATCCCAAAAGCAGTGGGAGTGAAGTTTGCTGTCTGATACATTCACTCCAGATTTGGGATGCCTTGGCAAGAGCGTGTACTTCCATTTTTATCCTCGTGTGTGTAATCCATGCAGACAGCTCCTGCTGGCCTGGATTGCAGGGATTGCACATCTCTCACCCCCACAGGGCTTTCAGGATGTGGGGGATGCATCTCCTGCTTTCCTGTCACTGATCTCAACCTTGACTTGGATCAGTCACTTCTGCAAGGCTGATCTTAATGTGTGTGTGGGGGCCTGAATTCCCAGGATGCTCCTCATTAGAGCCTAATAGAATTTTTTCTGGAGTTTCTTATCCAACACCCCCTGATCTTAAGGATGTTAGATTGCTCCCGATGTCTTAAATGCAGAATATGAAAGAATCTTTCTCTCTCTCTCTCTTGAAGTTTGGGTTCTAAAATACTGGGAGTGTTCAGTGCCTTCTCTGCAGCCCCAGGAGTTGAAGTATATATGATACTTCAGTTCTTCTGCAGAGATAAATAGTGGGAGCAAATTCCAGTAGTTTTATAATTTAACAAGTGGCACAACAAGAAGAAAAAGGTCCAAGTTTAAATCTGCACAAGGACCCAAATCAGTGACACTGGCAGATGTGCCAGGGCTTCTCACAGTCCTGTTTTACAAGTCACTGACCAGAACTTTGTTGGGATTGGTGGTGAAAACTGAACCTTAATAATGATACTGTCAAATAATTTTGCAATTAAACTGTCCCAGTGCCTTTTAAGCCTGTGATAGAGGCAGATCAGCCATTAACAGAACACAAGGAGGAAATTGGAATTCTGAACCTGGCACACAGGGCACTGATCCCTTGGCACTGATCCCTTGGTTCATCCCTTCCTTATCTTTTCTAGTTTAGAACAAAAATAGGCACCAGTTTAACAGACTTCCCTCAGTCTAATAGAAAAATTACTTGCACTAAATTCCAGCTAAGAATTGGAACTGTATCACAGAATCTCATGTCATGGGGGATGTGAAGGAGGAAGGACAGGACTGGTCCTTCCCTGCTCTGAGTTGTTGGTACTCCAGGGAAGCTTGAGGGTACTTGACCAAAAGTATTGAGCAATTCCCAATGTAGAAAGTACTTTTAGCCAGTAGTTTAATATCTTCCCTTCTTCTCTCAATTTAGGATGAAGGAATGAAAGCAGAAATATTTAGGTTACGTAAGAAACTGTGTGAGCAAGAGAAGAAGTTGCACAGCACAGTGAAACGCCTGCACTCCACAAACCAGCTGAAGGAGAACATGGAGAAGGTCATCATTGACCAGTGTGAGTGTGTGCTTCAATAATGATTCTGATTTAATAATGATTCTGATTCTGTTTCTGTAGGCTGTGGCTGCCTTTAAAATTGGTGTTTCCCTCGTGTGCCCCAGCTGTGACAGACAGACAGACAGACAGACAGACAGGCTCAGGCTGTGCTGAGCTGATGGAGCCTCATTCCAGTGGCTGGCAGTTGCCCAAAGTACAAAAGGCTGTAGAGAATATCATGGGAAGCTGTTCATGGTTTTACACAAAGCACTGATAATGTGTCAATCCATGCAGCTGCCACTAATTCCTACTTGGGTTGTTCCATTTTGGAGACTTCTGTTTCTATTTTACACCAGCTCTGGACAGAGGCAAAGTTTCTGTTTGCTGTAAACATTTTCAGCCAAAGTTTGTGACATTGTCAAATTGTGATTTTTGCCTCGGTCTTAATAAATGTGGAATTAGGATTTTACAGTTTCTGAGGTACTGCCCTGCAAGGAGCTCTGTGCTCTGCCCCAGACTGAGAAGTGCAGGAGAACAAGCTCAGAATAAGGGAAACAAAAGCTTGCTATGAATAATTTTTTTAAAGAAAAATTAGGCCCTACTGTGGAATTATATTTTACCCTTAGTGGCCCATGACTAGAAAATGATCTGGAGACATGAAAACAAGTGGGACAAAGGGAGTATTGTAGCTGTGTTAAGCCAAGTGTCTGTTTGAAGAGATCCATCTCTGCTGCTTTAGACTTTAATCACTCACCAGAAGAGATCTGAATGGAACTCTGCTCTACCTTCCTGCTACAGCAGTGTGTGTGTTGTGGGAGGAACAGTTCATTTTCTTCTGTAGAAAAATAAAATGAAAAAAAATCCATTCTCGCCTCCTCTGAAGTGGTGGGACTGAATGGCTCATTAGTCCTTGCTGGAGTGGCACTTGTGTTATCAGTAATTAATCTAGGCTGGAAAATTTTCCTCACCATACAAAGTGATAGAAATATCTGTAATATTATATGTTACTCAAGTCAGTTAAATGGAATGTAGAATGATAAATGTTATTTTGCTCCATAGCCTGTAATTTTTATATCTAAGGCCCATATATCTTCTGCCTGCAGATTTTTGTTGTTTCAAGCATTTATTGGCTGGTGTTTGGTCACTTTCAAAATTTCTATATTATATGTGTACAAATTACTCGTATTAAATCATAAATTATGTTTTGTTCAGGTTGTAGAGCCAAATAGCTCAGTTTGGGGTTGTCATGTAAAAATCCAAGCCATTCCATTATGTCTTTCCAAATAATATCCCTGGGGCAGATTCACTGGTCTGGTTTGTCCAGTTCCAGTGTCATCTCAGTCATTGCAGAGCTAGGCTGGGTATAAATAACAGATTTTACCCTTATAGTCAAAATGTTATCCCTGAGCCACCCACACTTCACTAAAGCAAACAGTGCCTGTTGCCCTAAATTTGCTCACTTTTTTTCCAGGGCATTCAACCTCCTCTGAGTGAGGTGCTGAGAAACTGAAACCTGCATTTTCTGAAATCTCTGTAATGCAAATCTCTGCTTGGAGAGCAGCAGCTGTGCCAGCAGTGGCACAGCTTCTAAATTCTTGTCATTGGCTGAATTTAAGAGTTTTGATTTAGAAAAATCTAGTTTGCCAGGTGAAATGGGTTTACTAGCAGAGCTGTTCTGAGCAGTGAGCACTCTGCCACACAAAGAGACCTGGATGTGATTTTCTCCAAGTTTCATTGATTATGGGAATTATGGACGTTGAGTTGCCTTTGTCTTAAAAGAGCAATTTCAGAAATGTTTCTAATTTGCATCTGTACACAAATTCTTGGCCAAGCCTACAGCAAAACTGAGGGACCACCTGAAGCTGCTGGATTCTATCAGGTGGCTTCCCCTTGGTTTTGAGATCTCTTCCCTTCTCCTTTGGCTAGCAAGAAGGGAAAAGCACTGCAGTGGGTGACCTTGCCTGCCTTCATTCTGCACACATCCTGTTACCTGCCTGCTCCAGTGAGGATATTCAGGTTCCCTCTGTTATGTAGCTGAACATTCCTAAATATATTTAGAGGCAGGGACTGGAACATTCTTGTGGCTCAGAGTCTTCTGTGTGCTCTCTCTGATGAGAGAGCTCATTGCTTATAAACCTCATCTGAACCTCTGAGCATGGAACAAAGCAGTGCCAAATTGCAGTAATCTGCCAGGGGTGTAATTATCTCGTGACAGCTCTACCCTTGGAGTTGTTGGCTTCTTATTGTTGTAATGAAAAATCTTTATTATGGTTAAATTGTTTATTTTTGAGACTGGAATATCAAATTGGTGACTGTGAGTGGTGCATTTCAGCACTTACAGGACTGACACAGATTGGAGACTCACATCTTTAACCTGGCATTTCTAAATACCAGTTTTGTTTGGAAACACCCCCTCCTCCATTCACAGGTCTCCTGCTGGCCCCACAGACACAGACTGGGCTGGATGAATGGAGAAAACCTGGAACCCTTCAGGGCAGGCCACTGCTTTTTGATTTCCCCATGGCACAGAGAGATTGCTTTGTCCTTGAACTGACTCCTTTTGTCATCTGTCCTCTTCTCCCTCTCCTAACTGCCCTCCCCAGCCCAAGGAGGATCCTTAAAGGATCAAACTGGAGTTGAGCCATGCACCATTTCCCCTTGAAAGGAACAGAAAATCTTCCTGTATGGCTTGGGTGGAGGGATGAGCAGGAGCTGTGCAGATCTGGGGGGTCCATGCAGGGCTGAGCTTTGCCTGTTTCACGTGGCAGAAAAACTTCAAGGGCACTTCCAGGATGCTCAGGTTTGAAAAGCAGATTGTGGAGCACAGGCCAGCAGCAGGGAATGACAATCCAGGGGTGGCACAGCTCTGGAGCTGCAGTCCTGAGGGAATCCTCTGCTCAGACATGATTCCATGTTTGGTCAGAAAACAAACACGGGGAATTTACTCAGACTTGCAGTATTCTTTTTAATCTTTTTAATCTCCTCTTTCTTTCCAGTGGTTTTAACACATGATGTCTTGAAGAAGGCTAGAGGAAACCTGGAAGTGAGTAAAAGTTTTGCTTGTATTGGATTCCTTGGTCTCTGCTGGTCAGAAACACACAGTGCTGTGTCAGGAGTATTTTGCAGAATTAGTCTGATTTGCTTTAGGTTTGCTACCTAATCAAGCCTGGGTGACAGCAGTTTAGTGTGATAAATAGCCTGCTGTGTTTGATGGCTGAATTAAGAGTTTTATGAGTGACCACATAAACACCTAAACCCTCTCCTTCCTGATGCTTTCCTCAGATTAATATTCATGTCTGTCATCATCTCCCACAGTTCATTTCCAGGAGAGCACAGCCTGAGCACCTGCCTGCTCTAGAGCCACCCTTGTTCAGAGCTGGAGCCTGTGTTGGTCACTGCTGGTGCTTTTGTTTTTCACCCACACACCCAACACAGGGGCAGCTTTGGGAGCAGCTCTCTGCTGGTGCAGGGAGTTCAGTCCCTGGGAGTGTTTCAGGAATCCCTGCTCTGGTTTGATTTCTCTTTTTCAGACTTTTCTCCCTGGAGGGTGCAATGCATTCCTTGACTGTGAAATCCCCCTCCTCCCCTCTCACCCCTCCATTCTCAATAATTGTACAATTCCCAGCCCCTCCCTACATTTTCCTCTCACCTTTTCCATGCATCCCTTCTCCCTCCTCCCCAGCAGCAGCAGCAGCACCTCCCTCTGCAGCTGCTGTGCTGTTCTCAGCCCTACCTGAGCTACACAGTGATGACATAAAACAATAAAATAATCTTTCTGCTCACAGAAAGATTAGCACTTTAATTTGAAGATCTGATGAACACAGGAGCTCCTCTTGGCACATCCTTGTGCAGCAGGATGGGGTTGGGACAAATTGTGGGCATTGAAGTACTCTATAATAATTATAATTATTGTTTTTTTTAACCAGGTCCCACCAGCTGAGAATCAAAAATCACCTTCCTACACCAGCAAAAAAAGGATTCTCTGAAGGAGAAAGTTCTGCTAACAGAGACTGGTTTTGTGAGTGTTGTTTGCTTTGTGCTGCCTTAATATTTATTGATGTAAAAAATGTTTGTTCAGCTCTTTTAATGGAATCAGCCTTTGACCAAAAAAAAAAAGGACAAAAAATGACACCTTTTGGTAAATAACTTATTTAACATTTTCTGTAATGTAAAGATGGTTTTTAATATTTATTACCAGAAGCAAGGTACTGCAGGTATTGAGGAAAAATCCAGATTTTTTTAAAGTTGGCACATTTGAAATTTTATATTTGTACTTGCCATGTTGTAAAATTATTTGTTGTTGTAGTCAAACAGGTCCTGAAAGAATCAAGAATGTTATCCACCTTCCACTGTTTCTCTCCTGCTAAAAGAATGTAGGTTAAAAAAAATACTCTGCCAGTTGTCATTGTTTTGTAGCAATGTAAAAAAATGTTAAATATTTTAAAGCATTTTAACCATCTCTGGAAGGTTCTTCTGGAAGCTGCCTGATGCTGGGCTTTTGTTAGGTACTTAGATTGATGGTGTGTCTGAAAATGTTACTTAGAGTCAGACAATTAAAATGAAAAATAATCACAAATGTGTTTGTGTTATTTTGTTTAAAGCCTCAGACTTTGGGCATTACTGACCAAAGCAGCCACATCACATCATTTATTTCCTGAGTGACACAAAGTGAATGGGAAAATAGTTCAGTTTAACATTAACAAGACCATAATTTGAAGTGATTTTTGTTACAAAAGCAGAGTTTGTGGTGCAAGCATGACTTCATTGAACTGATTTTGTACAACACACGATGTTTTTTCCTTCTCAAGCTGATGACATCCCCATTGCACAAGGAAATTTGCCCTTGGCATCCAAGCCCTGGGACTGGGAGATCTCAATACAGGATTGGGGTTTTATTGGCCCTTGGATTTTGTAATGGGCTGCCACAAAACTCTGAGTTTGTGCCCTGAGGGTGGGGAGAGCTGGAACTTTACCCACCCCTGAGCTGGGGCTGTTCCCTGCACAGCACATGGGGGGAAAGGACCTGAAATCCCATCCCAATCCCATCCCATTATCCCATCCCATTATCCCTTCCCAATCCCATCCCATTATCCCATCCCAATCCCATCCCAATCCCATCCCATTATCCCATCCCATTATCCCATCCCATTATCCCATCCCATCCCACCCTGCCATGGCAGGCACCCCCTCCTCTGCCCCAAGGTGCTCCCAGCCCTGCCCAGCCTGGCCTGGGACTCTTCCACAGCTTCCAGGGCCTCCCCACCCTCATGGGGAACAAATGTTTCCTAATATCCAGTGAAAACCTCCTGTCTCTCAGTTTAAAGCCATTCCCCCTTGTCCTGTCACTGGAGGAGTGAGTGACAGGAGCCCAGCCTGCAGAGCCCATGTCCCTGAGTTTTCCTGGAATTAATTCCTGGTCTCTGGGAGGTGCTCTGTGCCCTGCAGAGCCTGTGTCCCTGAGTTTTCCTGGAATTAATTCCTGATGTCTGGGACATGCTCTGTGCCCTGCAGTGCCCAGCCTGCAGAGCCCGTGTCCCTGAGTTTTCCTGGAATTAATTCCTGATGTCTGGGAGGTGCTCTGTGCCCTGCAGAGCCCGTGTCCCTGAGTTTTTGGGAATTAATTCCTGCTGTCTGGGACATGCTCTGTGCCCTGAAGAGCCCAGCCTGCAGAGCCTGTGTCCCTGAGTTTTCCTGGAATTAATTCCTGGTGTCTGGGACATGCTCTGTGCCCTGAAGAGCCCAGCCTGCAGAGCCTGTGTCCCTGAGTTTTCCTGGAATGAATTCCTGCTGTCTGGGATGGGAGGTGCTCTGTGCCCTAGGGAACCTCTGTCCCTGAATTTTTGGGAATTAATTCCTGTGCCCTGCAGAGCCCAGCCTGCAGCCTCGTGTCCCTGAATATTCTGGAATTAATAATTCCCGGGGTCTGGGAGGTGCTCTGTGCCTGCAGCCCCTGTGTCCCTTAGTTGTTTGGAATTAGTAATTCCCAGTGTCACATCCCGGAGCCAGCAGGGGGAGCCAGCCCCATTCCTGTGGATTCGAGAAAAACGGGAAAAATTAAAAATAAACTCCGCGAATTGGGGAAAACGGGGGGAGGTAAGGGAAGAGCGTGCAGTCAAACTTGTTCTTCAGTCTCTTCACACATTATTGTCCTCACAGCTCACTAAAAACGTCAAGTTAATTTTACTAAGTAGCTAAATTATAGACACTCAGATGTAATCAGAATCCGCTATACATTTCAACTTTCAAAATTAATCATCCTGTGTTTCTGAGTTATCACACCTGAAGGAAACAGCTGTACAGCTATATATAGCATTCCCCTGACTCTTGGTCTTCTTGCAGCCTTTTATTCCCCCCACACCATCTGCACTTCAAAATAAATAAATAACCAGGTTAAATGTTTCCCTTTCCTGAGATCATTTGCCACTTACTTCTTAATGGTCTCTGTTGTGCCCTCTCAGAGATCTTCTCCTGACCCCTTTTTTTTTTTTGATAGGCTCTAATTGCTGCACCCAGTTCACACCTGGGCAGGTCTCACCACTGAGATTGGTTAAAAAAAGAAAAAAAGATGCAGGATATCATTACCTCTTTAAAAACAGATGATCCTACAAGATCAAAGTATTTCATCTTAATGAGAAGTGCCTCTTAACCACACACAATTTACTGGGCTGGTTTAAAAATAATTAGAAAAAAAAAAAACAGGAAAAAAGCTCACCAGATGGTGGCTGTGGAAGACAAAGCTTACCAAGTGTTAAACTTTGTACCCATTAAACAAAATTAAATTTTCCTTTAAAAATAATTATGCAGGAGAAAAATAGGCAGCATAAGCAAATGGAATTATAGGAGGGGCTCATTTGCTGAGTGAGTTGCTGCCTGTGCTTTCATTCTGTGGGCAAGGTGAATGGAAACATTGCTGAGAGAGTGGTTCAGGGAGGAGCTCAGGGGGACAGGGGAGGCTGCTCTCACCACCTGTGACCTTGAACCTCCTGCTCATTCCCAGGCTCACAGGCACTGAGCAGGCTGAGGTCTTTCTCAAAGAGGATGCTGAGGGCCAGTTGAGATCAAGGAAAAAAAAAAGGGGGGGAAAAAAGTTAATAAAACAAAGGCAGGGGTTATCCCAGCTATCTAGGCCCCCTGCAATATGTGCAGCTGTGCAGTAGCACTGGGAAAATGCAATATTTACTGCCCTGGGGGCAGAGCAGGGCCTGTGCCCACCACTGAACACCCACCTCTGCCAAAGGGAACAAACACAAACAATACCCAAAGCTCACAGGTCGCTGCTGTATTAAAAATAAATCAATGCAAATGCATTCAGGTGTTTTTAAAAACAAAACCACAGCAGATCTTGTGGTATTTTCATCTCCACCAAAGCTGCCCATTCATTGGGAGGCTTTGCAGGGTGTGCTGGGGTTTGGGGCTTCCTGGGGCTGCTGTGGGATCACAGGGAGAGGGCAGAGCCCTCCCCACCCTCCATATGGAACCACAGAGCAATTTGGGTGAACTTTTCCCATTCCAGCCTGGCCCAAAGAGCCAAGCAGAGCTGAACGTGCCCTCTGGACATTTTGGGTTTATTTTAAACCCTCCTGAACCAACAAAAAGCAAATCCTGTCATCACTCCCAAGTTAAATGACAATGTGGGAAGAGAAATATAAAAAAGGAAGTGGCAACACTCTGCAGCTCTATTGATACAAATTCCTGAGGTGCAAAGAGCCCAAACCTGACCCTGGTCCCTCCTTGGAGCCCAGAGGGTCCCAGCACAGGCAGGGCAGGGACTGGGGCAGGGCAGGAGCTGCAGGGAGGTCAGGTCTGTGCTGTGGTGACATCCAGCCACTCCAGTGCCAGTGAGCCCAAGCTGCTCCTGGTGTTAAACCCCAGGAACCCCTCTCAGTGGCCATGCAGGGGGATTTGCACCTCCAGCCCTGGCTTCTGCTGCTGGCAGAGCGTTCTTGGCCTCTGGATGCTGGGATCAGCCATGTCACACTGAGGATGCCACACAGCAGGGCATCTCACAGCTGTAACAACCTAGAAAAACCCTGCTTGAATAGCACAGACCCCCTCCATACACTGCTCCCTTCCCTCCTGAGCTGGGCCTCGGCTCCTTGGAGTGGGAGGAGAAACCTTGGGTGGTTGTGCCACTAGATGGCAAGAGCAGGATGTGCTGGCAGGGCAGGATGTGCTATCCCAAGCAGGGTGTGCTGGCCAGGGCAGGATTTGCTGTCCCAAGCAGGGTGTGCTGGCCCTGAGCAGGGTGTTCTGGCCAGAGCAGGATTTGCTATCCCAAGCAGGGTGTTCTGGCCAGGGCAGGATTTGCTATCCCAAGCAGGGTGTGCTGGCCAGGGCAGGATTTGCTATCCCAAGCAGGGTGTGCTGGCCCTGAGCAGGATTTGCTATCCCAAGCAGGGTGTGCTGGCCCAGCAGAATGTTCTGGCCAGAGCAGGATGTGCTGGCCCAGCTGTGCCCACAGCTCCGGGGGTGCTGCAGGACCCAGCAGGACTGAGCCCAGCTGGGCTTGAGCTCCTGCCCAGCTCCTGCCTGCAGGGAGCTGAAATAAACCCAAACATCCCTGCTGGATCGGGCTGGGCTCATTAGTGTGAGTGACATGAATAAGATGAGATTTGGAGCCTGAGTTATTACTGAAATTAGGGAAAAAATCCCCAAGCAAGCCTGGTCTCAAGTTGTGCCCTGCATGGATCACAGTGATCCAGGAGCCCTGGGCATTATTGTCAGGGGGAAATTAGGAGTGAGTTTAGTGCTTGCTGAAGTTTTGGGGCTGCCATCCATCCCTGGATGCAAATTCCTTCCTCTGACCCTTTTCAATGAGTTTGGCCTCCAGCCTGAACAGGTTTGGCTTGCAGAGGAGCAGAGTCCTGAGGGTGCCCCATCCACCAAACCCTTCTGTGCTGCCTCACCCTCCAGGGGGAAGGAAAAGCAAACCAACCTCCATCTGCTCCTAAAATACCATTTTCTTCCACCTCAAATTTAGAGCCTGGCCCCACAGCTCAGCTCCCAGGGCTCAGCACAGTGCTGGCTCCTGAGGGATGGGGCAGTGGATGCTCCCTGTCCTGCAGGGGATGATCCAGCCTTGGCAGGGGCACAGAGAAGGAATGTGGTCCCTTACTTTGGCACCTTTTGCAGAAAACTCCTCTTGCAGGGAGCAGAGGCCTCATCCTTGTCTTGCAAAGCAGCAGTGGGGGAAGCCAAGGCTGCTCCCGGGCTGGTGACACCTGAGAAACAAGAAAGGTTTTGGTGACCTGTTCCCAGCTTTCTGTCCCACTCCTCACCATCCTCCACACCTAAAATGACCTCCCACACACAAAATCTGCATTTTTATGGCTTCTGTTTCAAGAGAAGTGGCACCAAGTCCCGTGTCACACAGCAGCACAGAGCCACAACACATCCCTGCAAACCCAGCACACTGAAAGCAATAAATAAACCAAATAATCCCTTTTCCTACCTCTCTCCATGGGAAGTCACTCCTCTAATAAGTTCCCAACGCCCAACCAAGCCCTCAGAGACCTCCACAGGCAGCTCTGGGCTCCCCCTGTTCCCTAGGAGCTCCAGGACCTGCAGCTGCCCCTGCCTCATCCCCAACCTGCTGCTCCACATTCTCCAGCCCCATCATCCTTATCTTTAATTTCTGAATTGACCCCCTGGAGAAAAATCTCTGCATGCCTATTTTTTATGTGTTTATCTTGTCATTTCTTTAGAAAGATACTTGTTACAAATATATTTTTCCCCTCCTTCCCCCCAGCCCTGTCGGAGGGATCTACTTGGGTAATTTGTTGAACGGGTTGCTGGGCCATGCATTATGCATGAGATGCAATCTTGATTTTTGCACTCCACTGTGTGCATTCAGAAACAGGAACGGCACCGTGCCCACACGCAAAATGAACATTAACAGCTCAAAAAAAAAAAAAACCTCCAAAAAAACAAAACAAACCAAACCCAAAAAAACAGAAAATGCCCATATATTTAAAGGAAAATGAAAAAAACATTTTTTCAAGCTGTTCTCACTGGGATTGCTCAGAGCAGTCAAGTTGTTCCCATGTAAGCTCTGCTGGGGAGTAGCTGGGCTCAGAGCTGCTGGTGGGACAACAGTGATGGTGCTGCAGCATCCAGGGATGGGGCTTGGGATCCTGGACTAATGGAAGGGGGTTGAACAAGATGGGCTTTAAGATCCCTTCCACCCCAAATCATTCTGGTGTCACCATCATATTTTCTGGAAAAATCCCTTTGCCAGGATTTCTCTCCTGGGAAGCTGAGAAGCCTCAGAGAAAAATGCAAACAATAATCATCTGATTTGCTTCTCCTGTGTCTGGCTGCTTTGGAATGTGGTAGGTGATTGTTTCATTGGTTGCATGTGAATTGTTTTTACTCATTGGCCAATTACAGGCCAGCTGTGTTGGACTCTCTGAGGAGAGAGCCAGGAGTTTTTCATTAGTGTCTTCCTAGCCTTCTGTCTGTATCCTTTCTCTATTCTTTAGTATAGTTTTAGTATATAATTCTTTAATATAATATAATAAATTAGCCTTCTAAGAACATGGAGTCAGATTCATTCCTTCCTCCTCTGTCCAGGGACCCTGAAAATCTCACATTCTGTGACTGTGTGTGAGCCCAAAGGCAGTGGTGGAGCTCAGGTGGAACATCCCTGCTCAGAGGAGGAGGATCACCCTGTCCCTCCCTCCTGCTGTCCCCACAGACACACACACAAACACAGACACTTCCTGCTCCCAGGGACAAATAAATCCTGCCTCAGCCGCTCCTCTTCCTGTGCCTTGTGCTGCAACAGCTCTTGGAGCACCATGGGGCCAAACATTTTGGGTCAAACCCCAAAGGCCACCATTCACTGAAGCTTTTTGTGCCAGGTGTGCCCTTGCTAATCCACCACACCTCCACTCCACCTTCCCCTGGCAGGGCTGGATGCCTGACTCCTGAGCTGGAAGCAGATGATTTGGGGACATGGTGGTGACACAGTGAGGGGAGAGGCTGCTAAGTGTGGTGTCAAACCCTTCAGGTCAAAGACACAAAGCAGAAATACAGACACAAGGAAACAGATGCAGAATGTTCCCAGCCCATCCACCCCCCACCACTCTGCCCTGCAGAATTTCATGCTTGGAGGCCGTGGAGTATTCCAGAGCAACCACACCTGTGGCTCATTTTAAAGTCCATTTAAAATCCAGTGATGGCCTTACCAGCCTCTGCTGGGGCTCCTCTGTAGCTCCCCAGGGTGACACAGCCAGCTCAGGCCACGCTGCTCCCTGGGACACAGCTTGGAACATCTGCAGGAGAACACAGGACAAGAAACCATCTGATCATGAGCAGTGGAAAGGAATCAGAAAGTGGCCCCTGAGCAGGAATTGAGAAGGGAAAAAAAATGTCAGAGAATGAGTAAGAGGGAGAGAGAGGACAGGTGGAAAGGAAAAAGGAACAGGATAAAACGGGGACCAAGATATAAAGCCAATTATTTTTGATTCTTTGGCTTAGGGGCTAATTTATTACAGCAGTAAATCATGCTTAGGACAGGTAATACAGCAGCCAGAGCTTGGACATTATTTAGACAGTGTGATCATGGTATTAGCACTCAGAAAAGTGGAAAAATTTAAATTTTAACTGCCTCCAGGCCACATCTCACCCTTTACAGTCTCCTCTTGGCTCAGCGTGAAGAAATATGGTATTTTCCCAGAGCCAGGGACTCCATGTGGAGCCAGAAGGGTTTCATGGGAAAGCACAGGGCTGGGTCCCATCCCATCCCATCCCTCTCACCCTGAGCCTGTGCCTGGCTTTCTGCACCACTTTTTGGGGTGTTCACCCTGTGCCCTCCTGGCCCTGGTGTGAGCATCCCCAGGCAGGGACCTGAGGGGCAGTGAGGGATGTTGGGAGCCCTGAAAAATGATGTTAAAGATGGAAAAACCCCAACCTGCCTCCCTTCCAGTCACTGCAGCAAATTCTCCAGCAGAATTAAATAACTCCATTATTGGATTTGCTGGGAATGCCCCAATGAAGGCAGGAATGATGAATCTGACTCCACGTTCTCAGAAGGCTAATTTATTATTTTATGATACTATATTATATTAAAGAATGCTATCCTAACTATACTAAAGAATACAGAAAGGATACTTACAGAATGCTAAAAAGATAATAATGAAAACTCCTGACTCTTTCCAGAGTCCCGACACAGCTTGGCCCTGACTGGCCAAAGAGTGAAAACAACTCCCAGCAGAATGCAATGGAACAATCACCTGTGGGTGAACAATCTCCAAACACATTCCACATAAGCACAGCACAGGAGAAGCAAATGAGATAAGAATTGTTTTCCTTTTCTCTGAGGCCTCTCAGCTTCCCAGGAGAAAAGCCCTGGGTGAAGGGATTTTTCAGAGAACGTGGATGCCACACTCCATGGTGCACAGACCTGGCTGGGGATGGGAGGGGAAGCTCTCTGCTTCCCCCAGTGCAATCTGAGCCTGTTTACTCTGATTTCACCTGCTGGGAACCCACAGCAAGGTCCCAAGGCACTGCTTGGCAAACTGACACCAGCACGGGCAGCTGCTCCCTGCTTTCTCCTGCTTTCCCCAGGCATGGAGCACGTGGAGACAGAGATCCACCATCCAGCCTGGGGCTCTGACTGTCCCCACCAATATTCTGCCTGCCTAAAGCCACGCCAGGATGCTTTTCTTTTTGCAGATGGGAAAATATTTAAGAAATGTGTTTACTTCTATCCTGTAAAAACACAATAAACTTATCTCCAGCCATTGCATCAAAGAAACATCGTGATTTTAAAAGCTACTTTGTTCAAAAACTCCTCCAGGCAGGAAAGATTAAAAAAAACTGGCAGGGTAGTGGTGGCAAAGGAAAAACAGAACCATGCTGTTGTAATTTCACTGTCCCTAACAGGGCAACACACGCAGGGCACATGTGGGATGATAAGTTAAAATAACTTGGAGAAAGCTATTAATTTCTAACAATGGCAAACACGGACAGCAGAGGTGTTGTAAAGCACTGTTCAAGTTATTGAGCCCAGCAGATGCCACACAGGCACTTTGAAGCCTCAGGTGGTTGGAAATGCAGCACAGATTGTCTCGTGTTTGATCTCCCACTCCTGTCTCACTCCATCACCATCAGTGGATTTCAGGATAACTGGGGCCAGCATTGATGTGGGCCTGATTGGTTTGTGTTGGGCCCAAAACCTCACATTTTACCTTTTCTGTGGGAAGAATGTGACTTTAAGCAGAAACAGGGTTAACTTCCACCCCAAAGCCAATCTGCCTGATGGAATTCAGGCTGCAGAGCAGGAAGGATTTTTGTATTTCCATCTGCCTGAGCGCAGGCTTGCACCCACCTGCTCCTTGATTGCTTTTAGTTACAGCTGATGATAATGCAGAGAGAAAGATCAATATGAAGTGTGTTGGCCTGGTAACCTCCTGAAACTGCAGAACTTGCACTGAGCTGTGACAGGGGGAAACTGAGAACCAGCAGGAACATTTTATGCAGCCAGAGGAGCTCTCTGAGGATCTGCTCCCCGTGGGCCATGAGGTCTCTGTGCTGGGCTGGTTTTCCTGACTGCTCAGGAGGGATTTTGCAGCTCCTGCTGGAGTTTGTCAGCTGTGACAAACTGCTGGGAGACCCAGAGCAGAGCCTGACCAGTCCCCTCCATGATCTCCTGCATGGATGGGAGCACCCTGGACCTTCTCCAGCCTCAGGGTGGTGCCCAGAGCAGCTGGGGCTGCCCCTGGATCCCTGCAAGTGTCCAAGGCCAGGCTGGACAGGGCTGGGAGCAGCCTGGGACAGTGGGAGTTGTCCCTGCCCATGGAAGGGGTGGAATGAGATGGGATTTAAGATCCCTTCCAACCCAAACGATTTGAATATTGTACGGCCTGAATGCACCCTCTGCCTTTCAAAGGGCTGGGCCACCCCTGCTGCAGCAGTGGCCGCCCTTGGCATTGGCCACCACCTTGGGGACCTTGTGGCACCACCCTTGCTGCAGCTCCTCCCCCAAAAATGCAACCTTCAAGCACTTGACTTGGTATTTCCAAAAAACAGAGTTTTCCCAGAAGCTGGGCTTTTCTCCTCAAAGCCAAGAGCAAAGAACCCCCATCTTGTGAGGGTGAGAGCACACATCCAAAACCAAACCAGCCCAAACCCAAAGCTTTGCAGCTGCACTGATTGCAGGTGGGGGCCTGCTGACCCCAGCAGACCCCTGAGCTTTGCAGGGATGTGGCTGGGGAGCCCCTCAGGGCCTGGCCTGGCTCCATCCCAGGGATCAGTCACCTGGCTGAGGGCACCAGGACTTGGCTCAGGAGACCACAGTGATGTGGTGTCCATTAAAGGTTTTATTAGCACTGGCTCCTGTGTCTCACCAGTGCCAATGAACCCCTCAGACCACACCACTCACTGCTCTGTAGAGGCCACATCACTCCTCTGTAAAATACTTCATAAAGCAGTTTAAATTTTTTCCCTTGGTCATAAACCCAGGCTGGGTTTAACAGGTGAGAGCTCAGCTGAGCAGAGCTGGCTGGGACAAGGAAGCCACCCTCACCTTTTCACTTGTTCCACAGTCTTAAATATTTTTTCTTACCTGGGAAAGCATGAAATGGAATAAAAGAAAGCAATGTGTAAAATACAGCATCCAAAGCAACCCTGCAATTTCTCCTGAGCCCCATGGTGAACACAGACACAGGGTTTGGGGCTGGTGTTTTGGAAAGTTTTCACAGAATAAGGCAGAAAGTCTGCTCTGGCAGACTTGGATTTTCAGTTTCTTTTAACTGAAGACTGCAAAGGTTTGATTTGAACACAAGGACAGGTAGAAAGGAAGACTCAGCTCCAGCAGTGATGGGAACTGTTTTCAAAACAAAGAATCACACCAAAACATTCCCCAAACCCAGCCTAGTGCTGGGAACACATGGTCCAGCTGACTGCTCCAGGCTTTCCTCAGTGCCCACTGAATTTATGGAGATTCTGGGCATGAGGAGCCCAAAACCCAGCATAAGGTCAGTCAGAGCAAACCTGGCTTGTTCTTGGGGAATGAGGAATGAATTGACATTAGCACAAAATATGTTCACTTCAGCTCAAACCTCAGCCAGGAAGATGTGGGAAAAGGTGAACATTTGGTCACTCCTCAATCTCTAGGAAAGAGGAAGCTGCACAGGGCTGGCAGTGAAGATGAATCCTTTCCAAAGATTCAGTTTTAAAACTCTTCCTTTTTGTAACCTTGAACTTCCACTCCTAGGGTGTTGTTTTAATTCTTCTTTTTCTTTTTTTTTTTTTCCCTTTGTCCCTTCAGGAGTTGACACAGTTGAGAGAGCAGAGAAATTAAACTGTGCAGAATTGCTTCCTGCATTGATAGACTTGGATTCTCATTCATGCAGAGACTTAAAAAAAAAAAAAGTTTAAAAAATCACCGGGATCTCTCTTTGCTCAGAAATCTGTATTCCATTAACTCTGACATAAGGCACAAAGTAAACCAGGAGAAAGAGAAACTCACCCCAGTGGGTGGCTGGAAAACAGAGGCAGAGCCCATTAGCATTCTCTGTGTGTGCAGGGAACAGAGGGCTTGGGCACACAAAAAGAGATCCTGATGGAAGGAACAGCTAATCCCTCCTTGTAGCAGCAGTGAAAGCCTATGGCCAAGAGAGTCTGCATGGATGTGGTAGCAGAGATAAGAGGGAGCCAAATTCCAGTGAGCATCCCCTTTCTGCAGCTGATGAGCAGCTCCACTCCAAGCTGGAGAACACACACCCCAAAATCCTCTGGGTGGAGATCACCCTGAGCACAGACACCTGGGACAGAGCTGGGGAGCAGCAAAGGCACAATAACCCCATTCTCAGGGACTAAAGTTTGGTTCTGTCCTTCAGGGGGCAGGCACAGGAGGAAAGTGGAGCTGGGTCCATCCCTGCCTGGTGGAGAATTGGCTCCTGAGCTCCTGGAGAGCCCAGGAGGGGCTGCAGGAGCACCCCAGGAACCTTCCAGCAAACCCTGCTCCACCCTAAATCCCAGCAACACTGGCCCAGGAGCTGCCTGTGCTGGATTCTAGTGGTAAATAATTTTAAAGCTAAGGATTTAAAGGTACCAGCTTGCAGATGAGCTGTTCATATACATTAATTTTCCAGAGAAGCTGTGCCTGGATGCCTGGAAGTGTCCAAGGTTGGATGGAGCTTGGAGCAACTTGGGATAGGGGAAGGTGTCCCTGCCATGTCAGGGAGTGGGATGGGATGAGCTTTAAGGTCCCAAACCGCTCTGTGATTAATAAAAATAAATTTTGGACATCTCTGTCAAACT